TTATTTGCATGACTAAATTGTTATATGGCTAAAATATATTCTTTGTTAACTTGGTGATTATTACAATACTGTGAACACAGGGATATTTAACAAACTTCTGTAGATTGATTTTCAGTGAGAGAATTTAGAAAGTCATAAAAATAATTTAAAAATATATATTTCAAGGGCAAATTTAAAACTTTTTTGTCTTTGCCTTTCTTCATATTTTGAAGTCAGGATTAGTAAAGTTTATAAACAAATATTACATTGTTTCTTAAGTCACTTTTTATTGTGTGTGTATATATATATATATATATATATATATATGAACTTACCATTTTAACTTTACATTTTTAAGTTCATTAGCATTAAATACTTTCACATTGTTATGCACCACCACCAGCCATCTTAAGAACCTGTGTTATCCTGATTTTTTAAAAAAATATTTATGGATTTTGAATCAAGACATTTATTGCTTGTCCTTCTATTTTATATATTCTATTTAAAGAAAAATAAAACTTCTGCTTTCTTCTAAAATTATATCTAGAGAAACTCTTCATAACTTGAATATCAGCTCATGGGTATTTAAATTCAGCAAAGAATTTTAACATTCTACCAATTCTTATGTTCTGTAAGAAAAATATTGTGTTATTGATTGAAGAAAATAAAACACTTTCTAGTTAAATCATACTAATGCTATGGATATTAAATATTCTCTTCAATTAAAATGAAATTTAAAGTTTAGAACTCCATGTGGTTCTAGGAAAAACAGAATGAGCCAGAATGTGAAATAACAATAATGAGCCACAGTCTAGTACAGTTCTTGGCCCAGTGTAGGCTGCAGTGCATAAATGAGTAAGTGAATTTACGAGAAGAGAAAATTAAATGTAAATTATATACACATTATTACTAAAATAACAATTGTTGATCATGATAATTAAGAAGTGAAATGAATATACTATTACTAACTAAAATAAAAGTTACAAGTATCATCAAAAGTGCTATGTGAAATAAGCTACAATTATTCTTAAACACTATTTAAATTTCAATAGACATAGTTTTTTTAAAGCTGGAGAAGGTCAGTAAGTGATTTGTAAATGGTCACATTCTGGAGGTGGCTCATTTGGGTACACTGGGGTCTTTCCAGGGTGAGGTCCACCGTAAGCGCAGTGATGAAGAATGAGGACTCTGGAGCCAGGCCACCTGAGTTTCAGTTTCTACTCTGCCACTTAATAGGTGTGCAGAATTAGACAATCTGTTTAGTCTCTGCCTACCTTAGTGGCTTCATTCATAAAGTGAGGCTAAACATAGGTTATTTGGGGAGAATTAAATATGTCAACAGAGAGAGTGCCTCAATATGTACACACAATAAGAACTTAATAAATGTGAATTTTTATCATTGCCATTTCAGCTTCTTTACTCACAACATAGTATAGAGACTCTACTCTCCCAAAGAGTCTAAAGGAATACAATGAATATTCATAGAAGTTATTTGGTTTCATTGTTTTTTAAAATTTATTTTGTTGTGACATGACTGATGAATAGTGACCTTTTATTAAAGACAAGGGAACTACTGTCACCATAACCACTACCATTCTGCATTACAATCATGAACACCATAATCACTGCAACTACTATTATTACCATCACTAGGAAATTTTCCACTATTTTCACCATAACCATCATAACTACTATTACTCTTCCACCACTATCATAAATGTCTCCATAATGTCATTACCAGTAAAACCATCACTGCCACCATCACCACCACTACTACCAACATCACCACCATCACTACCACTACTTCTACACCCTTAACATCTATGTGAATATAAATTTGAATTCAGAAGTGTCATTTGGAGAGCCTAAAGAGGAATAGATAAAGTATAAATATAGACATTCCGGTAAGTAGAGGGAAAGGAATTTTTAAAAAGGATATTTGGAACCAAAAATAAAAAATAGCAGAAAGCACAGGAAATAGCCAATATTACTGTTTAGGAAATAATGAAACAGAATAAGAAATGAACAAGAGGTTATGTTTATGTGCTATATACTTAAGGTTGAGCTAACAGCTCCAGAGTTCAATCTTAAGAGGTAAAATTAAAAAAATTCCCTTTGATTTGCTAGGGTGTGCTGTTTGGAATCAGTAGTTTACATTATTTGAACTAGAAGTTGAGAAAATGATACTTCAATAAAGAGACCTGGGTATGAGTTTCATATTTGCCACATAACAGAACATGAATAAGTTATTTAAAATCCCAAAGCCTCACTTTTCCATCTGATAATTCAGATGTTTATTCAGGGTTTGTGTGAAAAATAATAAATTCATTCAACATCAGCACTTAACACAATGTTTATACAAGATGAAGGCCCTGTACTGTTATTCCTTTTTTTTAAGAGAGGGGAGAGAGAGAGAGAGAGAGAGAGAGAGAGAGAGAGAGAGAGAGAGAGAGAGAGAGAGAGTTTTAATATTTATTTTTTAGTTATTGGCGGACACAACATCTTTGTTTGTATGTGGTGCTGAGGATTGAACCCAGGCTGCACGCATGCCAGGCGAGCACGCTACTGCTTGAGCCACATCCCCAGCCCCCTGTTATTCCTTAATCAGTTTCATTCCCAACTTTACTAAGTAAATAGCATTGTCATTTATAGGTCCGAGTTAGCCTCAACTAAAACTCCTTGTTCATCTCCCATTTCCCATATCAAAAGAATGCATTAGTAAATTCTTCCTGCTCAAAACTCCAGAATGTAGCTCAAATTACATGCCCTTGGCAAACTTTAGTTTTCCCTGTTCCTTCCCTGCCACCTCCCAGACAACATGGATAAACCTGTCTCTTATCTGCTCCTCAGCATATTCTCCACATAGCAGTCAATGTGAACTTTAAACATGTAAGTCAGATGATACTTAAAGCATTTAATAGTTTCTTATTGCATTTATAATAAAATTCTAACTCTATACTATCATGTTTTGCACATACTATCATGTCTGCTGTCCACCATTTCTAACATTTTCTTTTACTACTCTCCAGATCTCTAGAAGCTTTGGTCACACCATCTTCCTTACTGTTTCCTTCCAAGGATCTCCCATTCCACTTATCTAAAGTAGGATACCCATACTCCATCTAGTTCCTCATCACTATTTCACCTTATTTTTGTCATAACTCTTATATTTGCTCTATACGTATTTATTAATTATTTAGTCAGCTATTATCAGAATGTAAGTTTTTGGAGATAATTATATTGTTGATCCTTTCCATATTTCTATCCCCAATGCCAAGAGCTTAGCATGCTTTTGAACTATGACAATATGAGATATTCACCATACAAAGGAAAATAAAAATTTGGGGGGAATCAAAATGTTTGAAGGAAATTATATCACAATATAAAGAACTCAAAAAACAACACACATAAACGCGTTCATACACACACATGTGCACACACACACACACAAATAACCCAATCAATAAATAGGTTAAGGAGCTGAATAGATACTTCGTAGAAGAAATACAATCCATCAACAAATATATGAAAAAAATGTTCAGTATCTCTAGCAATTAGAGAAATACAAGTCAAAACTATACTGACATTCCATCTCATTCCAGTTAGAATGGCAGTTATCAAGATTACAAGCAGGCTGGGCACAGTGGTGCACTCCTGTAATCCCAGTGGTTCTGGAGGCTGAGGCTTGATCCTCCTGGATCAAGAGTTCAAAGCCAACCTTAGCAATTTAGTGAGGCCCTAAGCAACTCACGAAGACCCTGTCTCTAAATAAAATACAAAAAATGGCTGAGGATGTGGCTCAATGGTTAAGTGTCCCTGAGTTCAATCCCCGATACCAAAACAAACAAACAAACAAACAAAAAACAAGCAATAATAAATGTTGGTGATGATGTGGGGAAAAAATGTACATCTATACATTGCTGGTAGGACTGAAAATTGGTGCACCACTCTGGAAAGCAATATGGAGATTACTCAGAAAACTTGGAATGGAACCATCATTTGATCCAGTTATCCCACTCTTTGGTTTATACCCAAAGGACATAAAATCAGCATACCACAGTGACAGAGCCACATCAATATTTATAGAGGCTCAATTCAAATAGCTAACTTATGGAACCAACCTAGATACCCTTCAACAGATGAATGGATAAAGAAATCATGGCATATATGCACATAGGTTATTACTCGTCCTTAATGAAGAATGAAATTATGGCATTTGTCAATAAATGGATGAACTGGAGAATACCATGCTAAGTGAAATAAGATAATCCAAAAGTACTAAAGACCAAAAGTTTTCTCTGATTTGCAGATGCTAATTCACAATAAGGATGAGGAGGTGGGTAGGGAAGAATACAGGTACTTTGAATTAAACAGAGGGAGGGTAGGAATGATAGTAGAATGAATCAGATATTACCCTATGTGCATATATGATTACATAACCAGTGTAACGCTACATTATGTACAACCAGAGGAAGGAGAAGTTAGATTCCATTTATGATGTGTCAAAATGTGTTCTACTGTCATGTATAACTAATTAGAAAAATAAAAAAAATGATATCATGTTATGAAGACAACAACTATGGTAGAAAAAGGGGGATTTTTGTTTTTTCTATAGAAAAGCAAACCCACAAGTCCCTAAATGGAGACAAAATAACAGATGAGTAATAAATTCAGGGAGACTTATGTCTGAAGTTTCCATAAATAATTTTCTCATAAGGTGTTATGAAATAAACACAAGAAAGTTTAGAAACTTTGTATTTTGCTTAGTTCCAGAGTTTATAATTGATCCATGGTATTTAAAGTTATGCGTAGGTTAACACATATATTCAAAAACTGAAATTTGCCAAGGGCATATAACTGCTAAACCTTGAATGCAATGGCTTTGATACATAAGTAAGAGGGGAATTATTTGATTATAGGTCCTAAAGGAGGCAAGACAAAAGATTAGATACTGTGATTATTTATTATTTTCATTTTGTAAAAATGAAACTGACAGGGTATTTTAGCTACCCTGTACTCACTGTGCATGGTGTCTGCATCCATGGTTCCCCATCAATCTGCATTGGCAGAGACTTGCTAGTCCTAGGGAAAAATATGTCCTTGTAAGTATAACATTGAAATATATCATATAAAAGACTATATATAGGATAGACGATGATGAGACCAGGGAAGGCAAATGTGGTAAAGTGGACCTCTAAAGTTATCTCGTCTGAAAGGGAGATATTTATTCACTATTAATGAATACTCTGAAAGGCACCTAGATCATAAGAATGTTAAGACTTCCTGGTAAATATGGTGTTAAAAACAAAAATTATGAATGCAAAAAAAAATGCCAGGGTTTATTTTTAAGGATACACAGAATTCGAACATCCAAGAGACTGATTCCTTGTCAAAATGGACTTTTTCCCCTCTTCACCAGTGAAATAATGGGAAAATTTCCTTGGAAAATTTCAAATTTAATTCACATTTTGTTTTACCATACAATAACTTATTACTATTTAATTTCACAGAAACAGTGTTGCACTTAGGCTATGAAAGAATTTAAGTTCATAGTTGATCAATAACTTTTTAATTATTATTTTGGATGTATTTACTTAATAAATAGTGCCTCAGTAAACTTGAGTGTGCATGAGCATAGAGCATAGGGGAGATTAAATTTGCATGTTAGAAGGGACACATCACCATTTCCATGGTAGTCAACAAGGGAGAATCAGATTTCAAAGGACCTAATAAGTAATAGCTAGCCAATACTCTTTAAAAATCTGCCAATTTCTATCATTTTGAAATATATAAATATTAACCATTGCTCATTTGAAGCAAAAATAAATGTCACTATTAGTCTTGTGTGCTTTTGATTAGTTTTGGTGAAGTTATGCCAAACCCCTCTGTCAATTACAGAAAAAGAACTACCTGATGACCACAGAAGAGCATTGAGCCAGTCTTCGGCCAGCACTTTTCAGTCCTGTGTATATTTGCCCCATCTCCATGGCTCCTTCCAAACCAACCACCTCCAGCAGCTGATCACTCAGATCTGAAAGAAAACAGATGCCTTTAAGTTATAGTGAATATGCATATGTCCAAAATTTGATGATATTGGATATTATGGAAATAATGAAAGCCCCTTCACAAAGAAAGATTCTCTGTCTTAAAAACAGAAAGTAAAGATGGCCTACTTCTATAACTCTCAGTTTCACTAAACCTTTGAGGTTCTATGGAAAACGATGTGCTGTCAGCTTATTCTAAAACAAGTGGGAAGAAAAAATTCTGAGCCAAATAATGCCAAAAAACATACCAGTAGTTTCTAACATCAACAAACTTAATGTTATTCCACATGTATATATGGAACATTTATACATTCTACATCAGACATTTGGCAGCAAGTACACATCTCATCACTATAAATAAAGTATGAGGATATGCTGTCAAACATGATTTTTAAAAAATTACTCAAATGAGAGACCTTAGAGATCATGGAGTTGAATCTTTTTATTTTATAGACTAGAAGACTGAATCCCCAAGTCCTTGAGTGACTTGTCCACAGTCATAAGTAACTTTGTGTAGAAGTTCAAGAAAAAAATGGTAGTTTCTAGAAATGTTTTCTTAAGGAACATACCCTACCAAACTAATATTTAGGAGCAGATTAGAAAATTAGCCCAGTGTAATTATTTATTGTTATTAGGAGAAAACATTAAAGGTGGGCTAATATTAATAAGTACCACTTGTTAGGTGTTTATCAAGTAGCTGTCACTGGACTAATCATGTTCTATTAATTTCATTGGCTCCCCCTCAGAACTAATTTAAGAAAAATTCAATTATCCCCATTTCTAGAAAGAGAAGGTGAGAATCAGAGAAGGTAATTTTTTATATTTGCACAGTGAACAAGTGATACAGTAAAATATTGAAAGCAGCCACTTTAAAGCATAAACACTAGGCTAGTCTTTGATAAATCAGTTATATGAAAAGCAGATACTTTAAAAACTATATAAGTGTTTCTTACTTAGTGGGGAGGTCCTTTTCAATGACAGAATTTGCAGTCACTCAGAAGTAGAGGCTGAACTCGCACCAATAGAACCCCAGAGATGCTGCCCCAAGAGTCCATTTGCTCAGGTACTGACCTGAGTGCTGAGACCCTGGATTTACAAGCAGTAGTATGGGTAATCACACCCGGTCCCTTTCTATTATAGCAGTCCCATATACTCCTGACGTGCTTTTAAATGAAAATTTAAAAATTCAGACTGTTTTAGTAGGAAAAAAAAATCTAGAGGAAGTGGCCTACAGTGGGAATGCATAATGATGATACCAAATAAACATGTGCTAGTTGGCCATAGCCAAGTTAGACTCCTAGAAAAACAAGAAAGTTGTTTTCTATGGAACCATTTTGTATATAAAGCCCTCACTCCTTATTAATGAACCCCTTCTAGCCTGGAGTTCAGAGATGCTAATGATTCACTTTGAGTGCAGTTCAACTGTGGCAAAGAGCGTTTGAAATCTCAAAGTTCATGAGGCCTATCTATGATCATTGGAAATTTTAAAATTTTCACTTACAACAGAATGTGTGACCAAACCATCATATGTTTTTTTAAAGCACATGATTAAAAAGTATTAATCAAAAAATTTTAAATTGTAGCTGTGGCATGAGATTGCTCCAAGTAAAAACAACCTTTCAGGTAGGAAATAAAATGTTACCAAGTCAGAGCTCAGAGCTTCCACCTCGCTGCTCTAACCCCTATTGAGACTTATTTCTCATGAAGCTTATTCTGTTTCTAGTTTAAATTTATGTTGCCAAGAACAGATGGACAAGGAATAGAAACATATTCTTTCAGCTGTAGCCGGCACTAAAATGTGCTTGGCTCTGTAGCCTGGGTGTTAATATACGCATTTCTTAGATATATGTCAACCAGAAAACAGCATTGTGGCAAGCTCTAAAGCTCCAGATGTGTGCCTGGTGATATTTATAAAACAAAAACCACCAGCAGCACCGTCACAGGACTGAAGTTCACACTTGGTATTGTAGGTGTTGTACTGCCTAATTCCTAAAGAGGTGAAATTCCATGTTAATTTTTGTAATGATCTGAGGCTGGTTGATGGGAACTATTCTAGAAGAAACGAAACACTTTCTCGCAACAGAGTTAATCTGTGAGCCCTAACTTTTCCATGAATCACAGAGATTTGTCTACACTCACACCATATTGCTGCTGTCTGCCACCCTCCTTCTATTTTTTTTCTTTCTTTTAATTTGTCTTTGTTTTTTTTTCCTGCAAAAATACTCTGAAAATCAATTCTAGTATTAATAATCACTAAAGAAGCTATTTCTCATAAGTTTACAACACCTAGGCTTTCAAATGATTATGTTCTTGCTAACACAATAAACTGTATGGGAATAGTGGAATGTTTACAAACACTGGCGCAAGTACAAAGTGTCATGGGGTAGAGACAAAAACAAAAGAACTAAGTTTGTGACATGCAAATATTTCTCTCATAATGCATGGGCAATTTTTGATGCAGTGCAATCTTCACAGTATATACATAACTGATGCCCTGATGTGTGATCTTTTAGATCAATCTTGATTGATTTTGTATAGAGTTTCTGTCCATATATTTTCTGAACCCTGTTTCTATATGTGGTATGCTCTGAATATCAAGTACTTCTTCACCTCACATTCTAGCCAAAATTTAAGTGCAACTCTCCCTGCGATGGCCTAATCACATTAACTTACTTAATTGATTTGCTACCTTGTTATTGAGTTCACATTTTAGAATAGGAGTAGCAAACATAGTCCATGGACCAAATCCACTTCACTGACAGTTTCCATGGCTTATGACTTAAGAATTACTTTTGTTTATTTAAAAAGTGAAAAAAAATGTAAAAGAATAATACACTGACACATATAAAAACTGTATAAATTTAAATTTCATGGTCCATTAATTAGTTTTTATCAGGCATAGTCACACTTATTTAGTCTGTTTCAGCCCTAGTACTATAATCTCAGAGTAGAGTAGTTGTTACAGCAACCATATGGCCCACAAAGTCTAAAATCTTCACTATCTGGCCCTTAAGATAAAATGTTTGCCAACCTCTTCTTAAGAGAAACATGAACTCTTTCAGATCACCGAAAATTTTACTTTAGCTCTGCTTCAATAAATGTTAAATGGCATCTCAATGGCCTGAAAGGCATAATGTTGCAGCACTGATTCCACAGTGTGTGTATCCACGTATAGAGAAGCTGTTCTCAACCATGGTGTCTTACCACATTGGTGAACTAGGAGATTTGCCACAATACATTTGTTATTTATCATGAAATAACAAAGTTTCTAATTAACTTTATTTCAAAAGGAACCAGAGGAGGTTAACTTTCAACTTTATGCTCAGTCATTGCATTTTTGTTACCTTTTTTTGAGAATGCAGAAAAAGAAGTGGAGTTACAGATAGGAAGACAAAAATTGCAGCCAGACTTGGAGATCCAGGTGAAAATTAGCTCTACCTTCTAGAGTTACCTGCAAGCATTGAGACATTCTCACACCCTGATATAGGTGTGTGTGTGTGTGTGTGTGTGTGTATGTGTGTGTGTGTCTGATGTGTGTCTCCTCAGGAAGATCTTCCTTTTGTTCAATTGAATATTATAAAGTATATTTTTGAAGAGGAAAATACTACTAGGTTTTTGAGTTAATGTCTTTCCAAATATCTCCATGGGAGTAATGGTGGCAAGATAATCTTTCAAATTAGGTACTTTAAGTTGTAAGATTAAAGTCTTAGGAGATGGTTCTGAGGGAAAAACTTAATTAAGTCATCAAAATTGGGTCATATTAGAGCTAGATTCTTAATACGAAGTCTGTGAATCTGAATGGGGAAAATACAAATTTATTATCAGTACCCTGTAACTGAAACTAAAAGTTAATTCAAGTATAAATTTAAACAAGAAAAACATAGTTGTAGTAGCAATATCTATGATCTATTGCTACTGATAGTTATCAGGGACATTTCCATATTACATTATAGCTATTATAACTTCCTTTTTAAAAAAAGATAGTAACAAATTTCAATCATCCACAATCCCCAAATATCTTCAGTTGTCCCTAGAAAAATAATAATCTAAGTTTTGTTTGATTTAAATTAAAAATATTTGTATACAGTGTGTGTGTGTGTGTGTGTGTGTGTATATATATATATATATATATATATATATATATATATATATATAAATTTTAGTAATCCCTTGTTCTCTGCTAGATTTTTGAAGTTAATTTGCTAATAAGGAAGCACATATGTTACTAAATCAAAATTTTAGTATTATTTCAACATAATTGACTAAATTTTAAGCCTATATATTTTATCCTTTGAATTTTAAAACACTATTTTGAGAAAAATCAGTAGATTTCAATGGAATTACAAAGACGACTATACCACCAAAATGGCAAGAAACTCTACTTTACAATAGAATTTGCCTCTGCCTTTGTAAATCTGTTCTTGAATATTGTACCATATTATTTTGCTGCATAGGCAATCAAGGGTATGAATATAAAATCTAAAATTAGGGGCACAGATAGAGAATGCAAGAGCTGCATAGCTAATAAGTGGATAATATTTATTCATTGCTTAGTCTCTCCGGTTTGACAGTTTTGCCCTGATAGTATGTCTCATTATGTAATTGTTTCAGACTACCATATGTGATGGAACAGAAGAGGATACATTGCAAACACAGACTGAATGTGGGTTTTGTATTTCATAGAATATAGTTTGTCTTGCTGGAGGGGAAAGGGAGCTGGAGCAAAGCAGGTGAACCTTTTACCTGGTGCATGATGCACGGGCATGGCATGTGGTATCCAGCAATGTGCTGCCCCACTGTGGGAGACCACCTGGAGGTATGCTCAGTGACTTAATAGTAATACTGTAATAATCACAACTTGTTGATTATAACACCACTTATTAAATCCTTATTTGGCCATGGCAAGACCAGACTAGCTCTGCAGTTGGACATCCCTTCAGAAGTGAAGATATGTAGATATGTAGATTGTATGCCCTTTCAGTGATGT